TGTCAGCAAAGTTTGCAATATATGGGACAAAGATTTTCACTCTCATAGTTCCCCCTACCACACTCACACTCACGCACTCGCACACACACACACTCAGGAATCTGTACACCAGTTGATTGACAGTTGAGAGGCGGGACCAAAGAGCCAAAGCTCAACCCCCGCAAGCACAATTAGGTGAGTACAATTAGGTGAGTACTCGCACACACACACACACACGCACACACAAGGATAAACTATTCAACACTGTTGGGACGCGAACAAGGGGACACAGGTGGAAACTGAGTACCCACATGAGCCACAGAGATATTAGAAAGAACTTTTTCAGTGTCAGAGTAGTTAACAGATGGAATGCATTAGGCAGTAATGTGGTGGAGGCTGACTCCATACACAGTTTCAAGTGTAGATATGATAGAGTCCAATAGGCTCAGGAACCTGTACACATGTTGATTGACGGTTGAGAGGCGGGACCAAAGAGCCAGAGCTCAACCCCCGCAAGCAGAAATAGGTGAATACACACTCCCTCCCACATTCTGGGATGGCAAATGTTGCCTCTATCACGCGATAAAACTTGCATATCACGCATAAGGGCTCGGGTAGACTGCATATTTTTGGACTGCCAGAAAGCCTTTGACACAGTTTCCCACAATTAGTGCACAAACTGGATATGCAGGCGGGAGTAGAACGGAAGGTACTCCAGTGGATAAGGGAGTACCTAAGCAACAGAAGACAGACAGTCACTGTGAGAGGCGAGGTTCAAGTACCTTTATTGAGACAATAAGATAACCCCAAGAGGGTAGAACAGCTTAGGCAAATTCTCCCCCCTGTAGGGGTGAGGTCTTAGAGGGGTGAGAATGTAAAATTATGATTAGCGGAGTCCCACAGGACTCAGTTCTTGGACCCGTCCTGTTTCTGATATACTTAACGACCTCCCAGATGCAATAGACTCGTTCCTCTCAATGTTTGGTAATGATACAGTTATGAGAAGGGTTAAGACAGAGGAAGTTAAGACTTTTAGCCGTTATGTAATGTCAATTAAGACTTAATTCTTCCTTCCCTTACCTATTCCACAGCCTACCCAGTCCACCCCCTTCCCTTAGAAACACTTATTCCAGGAGGCAGTATGACCTTTGACCTTTAAGAAGACTTCTAGCTGCGTCTGAGCCTACCCCCCCCCCCCCCCACCCCCCAGCCCCCCCCAACCCCCCACCCCCCCAACCCCAGTAACCCCACTACTATCAATAAGATCATCCCAGAACATATTATACATATTGTTCCAGTGTTATACATTGCTATACAGCGTATACATATATGTATATTAAGGTCTGTCGTACATAGAGTTTAGAGAGGTGCTAGAGCATAGAGTTATTGAGCCCTCGGCCGCTTGTTGTTGATCGTTGAGCCGTGTAACTGTTGGTGCTGGCACGGGGTTGTCTGGTCAGTGCTGAGTGGGCTGCGTTCTCAGGTACAACTCCTCACTCTCTGGTCTAGGTTACACTGGTTTTATGTGAGGTGAATGATATGCGCAATAGGTTGTAGTACACGCACGCGCGCACGCGCGCACACACACACACACACACACACACAGGGGCCTCAGGGGCCTCGTAGCCTGGTGGATAGCGCGCAGGACTCGTAATTCTGTGGCGCGGGTTCGATTCCCGCACGAGGCAGAAACAAATGGGCAAAGTTTCTTTCACCCTAAGTGCCCCTGTTACCTAGCAGTAAATAGGTACCTGGGAGTTAGTCAGCTGTCCACGGGCTGCTTCCTGGGGTGTGTGTGTGTGTGTGTGTGTGGTGTGGGGAAAAAAAAAAAAAAAAAAAAAGAAAAAAAAAAAAAAAAAAAAAAAAAAAGTAGTTAGTAAATCAGTTGATTGACAGTTGAGAGGCGGGCCGAAAGAGCAAAGCTCAACCCCCGTAAAACACACAACTAGTAAACACAACTAGTAAACACAACTAGTAAACACACACACACACACACACACAACACACACACACACACACAACACACACACACACACACACACACACACACACACACACACCACACACACAGGGGGGGGGGGTCATCACCCCCTCTTTTACATCAATGTTTGCTGATGACGCAAAACTAATGACGAAGATGAGACAGATGAGGACTGTAAGATTCTCCAAGATGACATGAACAGGTTACAGAGCTGTTCCAAGCAATGGCTGCTAGAGTTCAACACCAAAAAGTGCAAGGTGATGGAAATGTGAACAGGAGCCAGGAGACCGAAAGGCCACTAACGAGACTCGTCCCAGAGCTGCGAGGGATGAGGCACGAAGACAGACTGAAGGAACTAGACCTGACTACATTAGAAATGAGGAGGGACAGAGAGGACATGATACAGACATATAAAATACTTACAGGGCTTAACAAAGATGAATAGTTAGCGATGATTAACGTATGGAAGCTTGAGACTCAGATATGCCATAGAGATGTTAGAAAGTTTTCCTCTTGCACAAGGGAAACAGATCGCAGAGCCTAACTCCATTACTTTAAAAACAGGTTATGAGAGGGAAACAGACCAGGAGTCATTGCTTTAGACAACCCCAGGGCTAGAAAAGCCGGGATCCAAGAGCTAGAGTACATAGAGGTGAGTTCAATCCTATACGAAACAGTAATTATTTGGAAATTCTTGCTAATGAGTTGGCTAATGATATACAAGATCATAACCTGCTATCATATGGAGGCTCCAGTGTGTATACCCCCCAGACTGGACCCCAGACCCCCAGCTAAGATCACAGTGGACCCCAGACCCCCAGCTCAGATCACAGTGGACCCCAGACCCCCAGCTCAGATCACAGTGGACCCAGACCCCAGCTCAGCCTACAGTGACCCCCAGCTCAGATCACAGTGGACCCCAGACCCCCAGCTCAGATCACAGTGGACCCCAGACCCCCAGCTCAGATCACAGTGGACCCCAGACCCCCAGCTCAGATCACAGTGGACCCAGACCCCCAGCTCAGATCACAGTGGACCCCAGACCCCAGCTCAGATCACAGTGGACCCAGACCCCCAGCTCAGCCTACAGTGACCTCCAGCTCAGATCACAGTGACCCCAACTCAGATCACAGTGGACCCCAGACCCCCAGCTCAGATCACAGTGGACCCCAGACCCCCAGCTCAGATCACAGTGGACCCCAGACCCCCAGCTCAGATCACAGTGGACCCCAGACCCCCAGCTCAGCCTACAGTGGACCCAGACCCCCAGCTCAGCTTACAGTGGACCCCAGACCCCCAGCTCAGCTTACAGTGGACCCCAGACCCCCAGCTCAGATCACAGTGACCCCAACTCAGATCACAGTGGACCCCAGACCCCCAGCTCAGATCACAGTGGACCCCAGACCCCCAGCTCAGCTTACAGTGGACCCAGACCCCCAGCTCAGCCTACAGTGACCCCCAGCTCAGATCAAGCTGTTCTTCAAAGGAATGGCATCCTCACTATCAAGAGAGCCCCAGAGCTCCTGTTTGCTAAGTTAATTCACCATTTATATTCATGGTGTTCCATAGAGGTGTAGCCAGGGTCGCCCTCTGAGAGTTTAGGCCGTTCACGGAGGACCGAAACGTCGCTCCCATCGTCTCTTAGATGCTGGTCTTAAATGTTGCAGGAGACGGCAGGATAGAGGTTGCATTTGCATCTGAAGTTGCATGGTGGTAGTGGTGTGTGCTGGGGGGGGGGACTTCAAGACCTCTTGGAGGTGTGCTGGGGGACTTCAAGATCCCTTGGAGGTGTTCTGGGGGGCTTCAAGACCTCTTGGAGGTGTGCTGGGGACTTCAAGATCCCTTCGAGGTGTGCTGGGGGACTTCAAGATCCCTTGGAGGTGTTCTGGGGGGCTTTAAGACCTCTTGGAGGTGTGCTGTGGGCTCCAAGACCCCTTGGAGGTGTGCTGGGGGACTTCAAGATCCCTTGGAGGTTTTCTGGGGAGCTTCAAGACCCCTTGGAGGTGTGCTGGGGGGCTTCAAGACCCTTGGAGGTGTGCTGGGGGGCTTTAAGACCCCTTGGAGGTGTGCTGGGGGACTCCAAGACCACTTGGAGGAGTACTGGAGACTCCAAGACCCCCTTGGAGGTGTGCTGGGGGACTTCAAGATCCCTTCGAGGTGTGCTGGGGGACTTCAAGATCCCTTGGAGGTGTTCTGGGGGGCTTCAAGACCTCTTGGAGGTGTGCTGTGGGCTCCAAGACCCCCTTGGAGGTGTGCTGGGGGACTTCAAGATCCCTTGAAGGTGTTCTGGGGAGCTTCAAGACCTCTTGGAGGTGTGCTGGGGGGCTTCAAGACCCTTTGGAGGTGTGCTGGGGGGCTTCAAGACCCCTTGGAGGTGTGCTGTGGACTCCAAGACCCCCTGGAGGTGTGCTGGGGGACTTCAAGATCCCTTGGAGGTGTTCTGGGGGCTTCAAGACCTCTTGGAGGTGTGCTGGGGGGCTTCAAGACCCCTTGGAGGTGTGCTGGGGGGCTTTAAGACCCCTTGGAGGTATGCTGGGGACTCCAAGACCACTTGGAGGTGTGCTGGGGACTCCAAGACCCCTTGGAGGTGTGCTGGGGACTTCAAGATCCCTTGGAGGTGTTCTGGGGGACTTCAAGACCCCTTGGAGGTGTGCTGGGGGACTTCAAGATCCCTTGGAGGTGTTCTGGGGGGCTTCAAGACCCCTTGGAGGTGTGCTGGGGGACTTCAAGATCCTTGGAGGTGTTCTGGGGGGCTTCAAGACCCCTTGGAGGTGTGCTGGGGGCTTCAAGACCCCTTGGAGGTGTGCTGACCCCTTGGGGGCTTCAAAACCCCTTGGAGGTGTACTGGGGGACTCCAAGACCACTTGGAGATGTGCTGGGGGGCTTCAAGACCTCTTGGAGGTGTGCTGGGGGGCTTCAAGACCTCTTGGAGGTGTGCTGGGGGGCTTCAAGATCCCTTGGAGGTGTGCTGGGGGACTTCAAGATCCCTTGGAGGTGTGCTGGGGGACTTCAAGACCCCTTGGAGGTGTGCTGGGGGACTTCAAGACCTCTTGGAGGTGTGCTGGGGGGCTCCAAGACCCCTTGGAGGTGTACTGGGGACTCCAAGACCCCTTGGAGGTGTGCTGGGGGACTTATAGACCTCTTGGAGGTGTGCTGGGGGACTCCAAGACCCCTTGGAGGTGTGCTGGGGACTTATAGACCTCTTGGAGGTGTGCTGGGGGGCTCCAAGACCCCTTGGAGGTGTGCTGGGGGGCTTCAAACCCCTTGGAGGTGTGCTGGGGGGCTTCAAAACCCCTTGGAGGTGTGCTGGGGACTTATAGACCTCTTGGAGGTGTGCTGGGGGGCTCCAAGACCCCTTGGAGGTGTGCTGGGGGGCTTCAAAAACCCCTTGGAGGTGTGCTGGGGACTTATAGACCTCTTGGAGGTGTGCTGGGGGCTTCAAGACCTCTTGGAGGTGTGCTGGGGAGACTTCAAGACCCCTTGGAGGTGTGCTGGGGGACTCCAAGACCCCTTGGAGGTGTGCTGGGGGACTCCAAGACCCCTTGGAGGTGTGCTGGGGAGACTTCAAGACCCCTTGGAGGTGTGCTGGGGGACTCCAAGACCCCTTGGAGGTGTGCTGGGGGACTCCAAGACCCCTTGGAGGTGTGCTGGGGGCTCCAAGACCCCTTGGAGGTGTGCTGGGGGACTCCAAGATCCCTTGGAGGTGTTCTGGAGACTCCAAGGAATTAATAAGAATGTAAATCATATAGCCAAGAATCTAAGTCCTATTCTTTAAGCCAGTGAACCTCAGAATTAAAGAATTCTGAGAATTAGAATTGAGAGAATTAATTCTCTGAGAATCCAGAGAATTAAAGACAATTGAAAAGTAAGTCAAATGTACAGTTCCGCGGGTTACGGGGTCACCATAGCCCGTGCTACTTGGACACTTCGTTCTCAGTAGCACCTGAGAGGTGTGACTTACAAGATGCTGAGGGCAGACAGTCTGGCGCCGTCAGTATCCTGCGTGACAGGATACTGACGTAGCCCCACACACACACACACACACACACACACACACACACACACACACACACACACACACACACACACACACACACACACACACACACACACACACACCAGGAAGCAGGTGTGTACAGGGTACCTCATAATAGGATGGGCGTTGTCAGGTGTGTGTTGGAGTATAAGGGCAGTGATTAAGCCCACCCACACCCACCAGTACGCCCACCCACACCCACCAGTACGCCCACCCACACCCACCAGTACGCCCACCCACACGCCCACACCCACCCTCCTGGTGGATCATAGAGGAACGCAGCCCACTCAGCCCAAGTTATATATATAAGCCCCATTCATCCTCACCGTTCCGGGCTATTCATGCCCGTGCCATCACTTAGCTTAATCTTTATCAATCATTCCTCACCTTGTGTTGAATGACTGAAGAACCTCGGGTAATCTTGAGATGATTTCAGGGCTTAGTGTCCCCGCGGCCCGGTCCTCGACCAGGCCTCCACCCCCAGGAAGCAGCCCGTGACAGCTGACTAACTCCCAGGTACCTATTTACTGCTAGGTGAACAGGGGCATAAAGGTGTAAGAAACTCTGTTCATTTGTTTTCGCCTCCACCGGGGATCGATCCCCGGTTACTAGGACTACGAGTACCGAACGCTGTCCACTCAGCCGTCAGGGTGAGGTGTGTCAGGTGTGTGGAGGCCTGTATACAGGTGTGTGTGGAGGCCCTGTATACAGGTGTGTGTGTGGAGGCCTGTGTACAGGTGTGTGTGTGTGTGTGGAGGCCTGTGTACAGGTGTGGTGGTGTGTGTGTGTGTGTGGAGGCCTGTGTACAGGTGTGTGTGTTGTGTGTGGAGGCCTGAGTACAGGTGTGTGTGTGTGTGTGGAGGCCTGAGTACAGGTGTGTGTGTGTGTGTGGAGGCCTGTGTACAGGTGTGTGTGTGTGTGGAGGCCTGTGTACAGGTGTGTGTGTGTGTGTGGAGGCCTGTGTACAGGTGTGTGTGTGTGTGTGGAGGCCTGTGTACAGGTGTGCAAGTGACGAATATAACCCCCACACACCCGACTATGCATACTCCACACCTGGCATCCGGCCAGCCCCACGTGGTAGAAACTCCTCACTAGTTACCTCACAGTTTTCTCTCACTCCTACCTCAGCCCCTCTCACTAGGAACCTCCTACCCCCAGGAACGAGTTCAATTCCCCGTGTCACTCTCTTCGTACACAGGTCCGTGGGCGTTGGTCAGGTTCGGACGCAGGATGACCATTGAGGGTGATTATAGGACCTTCAAGGGCTTCTGGGTAGGTAGTTAACTGTCTGATTACTGTCCCTGTTGTAGCACTATTTACCACCAACATTCCCATCTGTAATTGTCGCTACAGGCACCTGTAATTGTCGCTACAGCTGTAGGCCAGGCTAGAGAGGCCGACTACAGCTGTAGGCCAGGCTAGAGAGGCCGACTACAGCTGTAGGCCAGCCTAGAGAGGCCGACTACAGCTGTAGGCCAGCCTAGAGAGGCCGACTACAGCTGTAGGCCAGGCTAGAGAGGCCGACTACAGCTGTAGGCCAGGCTAGAGAGGCCGGCTACAGCTGTAGGCCAGGCTAGAGAGGCCGACTACAGCTGTAGGCCAGCCTAGAGAGGCCGGCTACAGCTGTAGGCCAGGCTAGAGAGGCCGGCTACAGCTGTAGGCCAGGCTAGAGAGGCCGACTACAGCTGTAGGCCAGCCTAGAGAGGCCGGCTACAGCTGTAGGCCAGCCTAGAGAGGCCGGCTACAGCTGTAGGCCAGGCTAGAGAGGCCGGCTACAGCTGTAGGCCAGCAGCTTCCAGCATCACCCTTCAGGTGACAGTGGTGGTGACAGTGGTGGTGACAGTGGTGGTGACAGTGGTGGTGACAGTGGTGACAGTGGTGGTGACAGTGGTGGTGACAGTGGTGGTGACAGTGGTGGTGACAGTGGTGACTGGTGGTGACAGTGGTGGTGACAGTGGTGGTGACAGTGGTGGTGACAGTGGTGACTGGTGGTGACAGTGGTGGTGACAGTGGTGGTGACAGTGGTGACTGGTGGTGACAGTGGTGGTGACAGTGGTGGTGACTGGTGGTGACAGTGGTGGTGACTGGTGGTGACAGTGGTGGTGACAGTGGTGGTGACAGTGGTGACTGGTGGTGACAGTGGTGACTGGTGGTGACAGTGGTGGTGACTGGTGGTGACAGTGGTGGTGACTGGTGGTGACAGTGGTGGTGTGGTGACAGTGGTGGTGGTGGTGTGGTGACAGTGGTGGTGACAGTGGTGGTGACAGTGGTGGTGACAGTGGTGGTGACAGTGGTGGTGACAGTGGTGGTGACAGTGGTGGTGACAGTGGTGGTGACAGTGGTGGTGACAGTGGTGGTGACAGTGGTGGTGACAGTGGTGACAGTGGTGGTGACAGTGGTGGTGACAGTGGTGGTGACAGTGGTGGTGACAGTGGTGACAGTGGTGGTGACAGTGGTGACAGTGGTGGTGACAGTGGTGGTGACAGTGGTGGTGGTGACACAGTGGTGGTGGTGACAGTGGTGGTGACAGTGGTGGTGACAGTGGTGGTGACAGTGGTGGTGACAGTGGTGGTGACAGTGGTGGTGACAGTGGTGGTGACAGTGGTGGTGACAGTGGTGGTGTGGTGGTGACAGTGGTGGTGACAGTGGTGGTGACAGTGGTGAGTGTGGTGGTGACAGTGGTGATACCAGTGGTGACAGTGGTGATACCAGTGGTGACAGTGGTGGTGACAGTGGTGATACCAGTGGTGACAGTGGTGGTGACAGTGGTGACAGTGGTGGTGACAGTGGTGGTGACAGCGGTGGTGACAGTGGTGGTGACAGTGGTGGTGACAGTGGTGGTGACAGTGGTGGTGACAGTGGTGGTGACAGTGGTGGTGACAGTGGTGGTGCAGCAGGTGGTGACAGTGGTGGTGACAGTGGTGGTGACAGTGGTGGTGACAGTGGTGGTGACAGTGGTGGTGACTGGTGGTGACAGTGGTGGTGACAGTGGTGGTGACAGTGGTGGTGACAGTGGTGGTGACAGTGGTGGTGACAGTGGTGGTGACAGTGGTGGTGGTGACAATGGTGACAGTTGGTGGTGACAGTGGTGGTGACAGTTGTGGTGACAGTGGTGGTGACAGTTGTGGTGACAGTTGTGGTGACAGTGGTGGTGACAGTTGTGGTGACAGTGGTGGTGACAGTGGTGTGACAGTGGTGACAGTGGTGGTGACAGTGGTGGTGACAGTGGTGGTGACAGTGGTGGTGACAGTGGTGGTGACAGTGGTGGTGACAGTGGTGGTGACAGTGGTGGTGACAGTGGTGGTGACAGTGGTGGTGACAGTGGTGGTGACAGTGGTGACAGTGGTGGTGACAGTGGTGGTGATGGTGGTGACAGTGGTGGTGACAGTGGTGGTGACAGTGGTGGTGGTGGTGACAGTGGTGGTGACAGTGGTGGTGACAGTGGGGTGACCAGTGGTGGTGACAGTGGTGGTGACAGTGGTGGTGACAGTGGTGGTGACAGTGGTGGTGACAGTGGTGGTGACAGTGGTGACAGTGGTGGTGACAGTGGTGGTGACAGTGGTGACAGTGGTGGTGACAGTGGTGGTGACAGTGGTGGTGACAGTGGTGGTGACAGTGGTGACAGTGGTGGTGACAGTGGTGGTGGTGGTGACAGTGGTGCCAGTGGTGGTGACAGTGGTGGTGACAGTGGTGGTGACAGTGGTGGTGCCAGTGGTGGTGACAGTGGTGGTGACAGTGGTGGTGACAGTGGTGGTGACAGTGGTGGTGACAGTGGTGGTGACAGTGGTGGTGACAGTGGTGGTGACAGTGGTGGTGACAGTGGTGGTGACAGTGGTGGACAGTGGTGGTGACAGTGGTGGTGACAGTGGTGGTGCCAGTGGTGGTGTGGTGGTGACAGTGGTGGTGACAGTGGTGGTGACAGTGGTGGTGACAGTGGTGGTGACAGTGGTGGTGACAGTGGTGGTGGTGACAGTGGTGGTGACAGTGGTGGTGACAGTGGTGGTGACAGTGGTGGTGACAGTGGTGGTGACAGTGGTGGTGACAGTGGTGACAGTGGTGGTGACAGTGGTGGTGACAGTGGTGGTGACAGTGGTGGTGACAGTGGTGGTGACAGTGGTGGTGACAGTGGTGGTGACAGTGGTGGTGACAGTGGTGGTGACAGTGGTGGTGACAGTGGTGGTGACAGTGGTGGTGACAGTGGTGGTGACAGTGGTGGTGACAGTGGTGGTGACAGTGGTGGTGACAGTGGTGGTGACAGTGGTGGTGCCAGTGGTGGTGCCAGTGGTGGTGACAGTGGTGGTGACAGTGGTGGTGCCAGTGGTGGTGACAGTGGTGGTGACAGTGGTGGTGACAGTGGTGGTGACAGTGGTGGTGACAGTGGTGGTGACAGTGGTGGTGACAGTGGTGGTGACAGTGGTGGTGACAGTGGTGGTGACAGTGGTGGTGACAGTGGTGGTGACAGTGGTGGTGACAGTGGTGGTGACAGTGGTGACAGTGGTGGTGACAGCGGTGGTGACAGTGGTGGTGTGACAGTGGTGGTGACAGTGGTGGTGACAGTGGTGGTGACAGTGGTGGTGACAATTGTGACAGTGGTGACAGTGGTGGTGACAGTGGTGGTGACAGTGGTGGTGACAGTGGTGGTGACAGTGGTGGTGACAGTTGTGGTGACAGTGGTGGTGACAGTGGTGGTGACAGTGGTGGTGACAGTG